AGAGAGAGAGAGAGCAGTAAGAAACGTAACTTTTCCCCCAATTCTCTCTGATTCCTTCCCCAGATTCTTTCTCGAGAAAATTACAAAAATCAATGAGCCAAGCAACGACAAATCACCAAAGGATTTTTCGAAAGGTAATCCTGTTCACGTGACGATTCCTTCGATAAGCCAACTGTCTCGATCCTTTAAGCCTTTGCCTCTATTAACGCAGCAAAGAGAAATTTTGATTGAAGCAAGTAAAACTGAATTTCAAATGTCCAATGTACATTTGCTCGTTTGAAACTTTTCGAAAAAAGTTCAATTTGAAATGGAAATTATGGGAAAGTAAAATGATGTATCAAAAAAAAAAAAAAAATTCTAAATTTAGATTATATCACGTAATGTGACTGTGTATTAATTCCACATCGATCAAAATTACTATAATTAAATTGGAATATCAATGTTCATAAATAGAAACATGACTATGATTATTGAGTGAAATCAGAGTTTCGTTGGAAAGAAGAGTATTTGAATGTATCAGAATGATACACAGATAAAACGAAAGAAAATAAATACGAGGGAAGCATTACGTGAACCAGTCTTGAAAGAAAGAATATTTTCAAGCAAGAACAATTTTTCTTAATTATAATTCTAAAATTAATAAATTCTATTGTTAATTATTAAAAAACAATCGAATCCACGCCAAGTAATCGTTGCATAATGATCAAACAAAACAAGGTTTTCCTTACCTCTCTGATGAAACACATTTAAAACACATTTTTAATTAAAAAAAAGAAAAAAAGGAGAAAAACAATTCGAACGCCAAAATGCATTCTAACCGATCAAAATTCGATAAAACGAGCAACAGGTAATCGGTTTCGAGAAAACGAAGAAGGACACGCATGATCCTAGCTTCAATTAAGAGTAGCGGAATGGCAACGAGAACCACGTACCAGAAGTTCGAGTGATTCAAAATTTAGATGGAGAACAGTTAAGCCACTTTCCTCAGTTGGAGAAATCCAGTTGGGTCGTTAAAAGCAACGACCAGCACGAGAAGCTTGGAATGAATATTCAATGCGACACGAAATCGAAAGCGAGATCTAGCTTAACTTAGCCCGAGCCCTCCTTCTTTTTGCATGGTTTAACATCCTTGTCGAGGACTATGGTGTTATATTCCAAGGGGAAAAACCACGCTCGAACAAATACGTCTTTAATAATTTAAATCCTCCTTCTTTTTTTTTTTTTTTTTATAAAGGTTTAGGTGAAATGATTTGATCAAAGGTAACAGCAAAAATATATTTAATAAAGGAAATAGAAATAAAAATAACAAATTGATAGTAATTGTTATGTGGCGCTAGTGTCGCATTACTGGTCGCCATAGTGCTAATAGCTAGCAAGAGTAATTTCTAATATTTATATTAGGGAATAGATTCGAAATGATTGCATTAAAAATAAAGAATATATTTAAAAAAAGAAATAAGAATAAATTATGTGTAATCGTGTCGATGCCTTCGTTCTACTACTTTCTGTTAAAATTAAAACAACTTTCGCTTTATAACTGTCTGATCTAACCTTGTTCTTAGAGAGATCTTTGTAACTAGTTGAAGGTGTAGAGTTTTATTCCCTGCTTGGGAACAACCGAACTTTCTTTGCGTGTATTTTGTAGAAAAGTAGAATCATTAGTAGTTGAGACTTATCGAATCACGTAGATTGATAGTTAAAGGTTATGTGGCGCTAGTGTCGCATTACTGGTCGCCATAGTGTTAACAGCTAGCAAAAGTAAATGCTAAATATTTATATTAGGGAATAGGTTGTGAAATGATTCGACTAAAATAAAGAATAACGAAAGAGTATATTTAATAAATTATGTCACGTAGATATGGATCGATGCCTTTGTTTCACTACTACACTGAGCTCGTTATATCGAGTCGCACGACGGTTTCGAAAAAGGGGAGCAGACAAAACAGAATCGAAACAACGATCGCGTCCAGTGACATGCGATTCACGCATAAATATACGAGATACGAGTCGCACCTTTACATGTATGTATAAAAATTTTTTTACGTGTTTACATGCTTTAATAAAAATTGTCTGCTATATCGAAAAGAGGTTAAATCAAGCTTGTTAAATTATTAAAGAGTTATGAAAATGTTTGTGAATAATTATTAAGAAATTTGTAGAGTAGGATAAGTAGGAGTGGCTCGTTTGTTGCCAGACAGATACAAGACAAATTTTCTTTTTAGAATAAAAAATTAATTATAAAGTTGTAACAAATTGTTCGAACGAGATGGATCGATATTCGAAGAAACGGATCTTGCTACGTGTCGGGGTGAATAATTAATCGTTAGACGCGACCTCGTTACACAATTCCAACAAGTATAAGAATAGAGGGCAGGGGGAAACGTTGGGATTTCATTCTGCAACTTCTCTCGAGGGCATCGTCTGCCAATTTATCGATCGTTCAGAGTTTCGTAACGTCGTGAACGTGTATCATTAACTACGAGGGAGAAAATCGATGGTTAGGTGAAACGGAACGATGAGGGGGAGCGTTATCTCTTTTTCGTTCACTCGAATTTCACGAGAGAACAAGTGTGTTCTTTTGAAAGTGTATAAAATTTAGAGAAATCGAGAAGGAGGGTATTAAAGAGGGATTTTCGAATTTTTAATTCGAAGCTTCTACCAAAAATTATTAAAAAAAAAAGTATAATAATAATAAGGATAAGGATTATTTGCGATCTGATACTTTAATTAATCCTCTTTCAAACGGCTGCCCAATGGACCAAGAAAACTAATTAGCCTCTGGACAGTTAAAATGAGGAGAATCGGCAAAGAATTTCGGCCGAATAATCTACTGACATTTATTAAAACGCGAATTTTAAAGAAACTTGAAATGGAAATTTTTAACGAAGTTTTCAAAAGTCTAACGTGACAATTTTTCCAGAATAATTGGCAAAGTTTCTCGAATATGAATAAAAAAAAAAAAAAAAAGAAAAGAAAAAAGAAGAAGAATCAATTAAGAAAGAAACATGTTTACCACTGCAGGGCGGTCTCGTCCTTAATAAACAGGGTGTAATTATTGCAGTTGACGCGAACGCGGATAATTTACGCGCAGCCGTGTGGAATAACGACACCCTCGTCGTTACATCCACTTTTTTTTTTCGAAAAGGAAGCAGATTCTTGAATGTGCGTCAACTTCTCAGAATACGATTTAAATAAGGTAACGATAAGACGCTTGAGAACGTGAATTTTGCCGATTCGAGAATTGTGAAAGTAAGACAAAAAATTCTTCCAAAGAATTCCCAGATCAAGGAATATCGTTGAACAAATAATGAACGACATCTCGTCTCAAAAAAAATTAAACGTTAAAACTAGAATTTGAATCTAATAAATTGGAAAACTAAGAATCGAAACAAAATTTCTTTCTATCATTGATATAATAAATCGGTGATATTTTCAATTTTCCTACCTTCTGCAGTGCATAGGTGCGACAGGCCAGCTCCTTCTGGTCCTGAGAATGATGGCGGGGGCCCTAGCGTGGCCCACGACAGGCGCCGAGGTGCGTCCCTGATTCCTCTTTCCCCAGAGATGACCGCCGCCGCCGCCAGGCCCGCTTCCGGTCCCCGGAATTCCTGGATGGGGTCCACTCTCGCTACACGCCCGCCTCGAGAACATTTCGCGCTTCCTGTCGTCGCACTTCATCATCTTTCCTCGTTTTTCAGTCGCTATTTCTTCTCTCCTTTTCTATATCACTCACCGTTTCCTTCTCAAGAGAGGAATTCTCGAGGGAATCTCGAGAAAAGATTTAGAAATGCATAGAAAATGGGACACACTCGGGGGAATCAAGTTTCACTCTAGTAAGAAAGTTTTTTCGTCAACGGTTCTTCTCCAAGAGACACGCTTTCTTCGGGAACTTTTGCTCCATTCGTCGTTAGAATTCTTGTAAGAATCTTGGGCCAACCATACCTGTACCAGTTTTTCTTTTGTTCTTTCAACTTTGTTAGTTTCTCTCGCACTTTTGAAACTTTTTCTTGTATAGAATTAAATTTTCAAAGATAATTCTCAACACGTTGTAGAAATTTCTCTTTCTATCTAGGATTCTTTAATTGACACTGAAAATTATTCGATTTTATTTTTCTTATATTTAAGTATATTATTATTCTATAGTTGTATATTCTATTAAATTAGTTTTTTTAATATCTCTATATACTTTTTTGTTATTATAGTTGTGGTTTTCTCTCTCTCTCTCTCTCTCTCTTTAATTTTACAAGAAATATTTTTCTACTTATTTTCAATTTTAGAAATCGATTTCCACAAATACATTTTATTGATATGTTTTTATCTTTTTATTTCACACTTCTTGGATTTTTCATTTTCTTTTATTTTCCACTTTCCTTTATCACCTTTTCTTTTGTAATTTCTTTCTATTCTCGTCTACTACACTTTTCAATTTTGAAATTTCTTTCTTTATTTCAATCTAGTATTTCTATCAATTTTTGATATTCATTTTGTCACTAATAACTTAAAAATCACATTCGAAGCAAGTTTTTTTGTTAAAAAAATATTTTTATATTTTTATCTCCCTTTCGGGATTTGAACCGGAGTACTTACGATTTGCATTCAAGCGCCGTATTATCTTGACTATCATTACTTTCTTCGTACGATGTTTCTTATTTTGGTTTTTAGTAGCACAAATTCAATTTCTTCTTACTCTATGCTGACGAGAGTAACAATCTTTCTCGTCCTTAGTTTCTATCTTTATTTTGGCCCCAAGCGGCGAGAAATTAAGATAAATTGATCGATCAAGTTAAATTCTATGGCTAATAGGAGTTTTTAGAAAAGTTTAAAAATCTACACGTGACGAGAATATTTTTCTGTCACTGTGTTGGACTCAAAGTTTTCCTACTACTCTTCACTCTTGATAATATCGTAAATCCCAGCTCTAATCTAGCCGTTGCTTCTCGTTTTGACGTGTTGCTAGTAAAAATGACTTGAAACCGTGATAAGTAAAAAAAGCGAAGTGCCTTGGTCCTCCGGAGTATATACCGGTGAAAAATTTTTAAAGAGGAAAAAATAGTAGACTATTTAATCTAATAATTTGAGAATTATCATTTAAGTATTAAGAATATTTTAAATTTATTTAATTTTATGTATATATATCTCTTTAAAAATCTTATTTATATCCACGAGAGGTAAACATTTTGTCTTACATTTAATAGATTATTTATTAAAGATTTTTAAAAGAAGAGAAAAATATCACTCTCTTTCGATCTTTCGATCAATATTTTATTCTTTAATTCGCATAACCCTCGTAACTTTGACTACAATTTTCGATAATTTTTAAAACCCAATTAATATTCAGCGCTGATCACTTCGAACTTGTAAAACTTTCCACCATTGAATCGCTTTCCTCCTCTTCCATTTCCACATGAACAGGCATCTGTTTCATCTGAAATCGTAGAACCACGCTTAACTTAACTGAACCTTTCGAGAATTCTTCGTGCCTCGATACCCGCTGCAAAAGCTGGTGAAACTTGTTGAAAACGATTATCGATAAATACGCGATACTTTTACTTTTACAATAACAGATACGTCCATTTAATGAATGCAAACGTGACATAATCCAAACTAATCACTCAGCTCTAAGATTCCTCGCTCTCGCCTCAAAATAATCCTCGCCATAAGCCAATGCGAAGCTCTAATCGAACCTAACCTAACCTAACCTAACCTAATCGATCGTCCAACCGAGCTTATATCGCTTAAGCTCGCATGACGTTTGCATAATGGGTGGACTTGCCAGGACTGGAAACAAAGAGGAGAAAGAAGAAACCTCTCAGAGATTCGAAGGAAAAAAGAAAGCTTGTCCAGAAAGTTGGTCAAGCTTTAAAGATTTTAAACTGGATGAAAACTTTTATTGTTCGATCTTCGGACCGTGGCCAATCTTGTTAACTTTTCTTTCAACAAAATGGAAGATGCTCGAAAGAGGGATGTTGGAGTTGACCTCGGCTTTGGATCAATTCCTCCCAGCTTGTAACCAGAAACTTAACACTTCAACAAGTGGTTGAATTCCAACCTTGGATCTACTATAGTTTGATCAGATCGAGACTCGAACGAGACTCTTGTTCTCTTGAACGAGAGACGTGTATCGAGTTAATTCTGAATTCAATTTGTTCGAGGTTAGGTCGCGTGAAAGGATTATGGGTGCACAGAGTGGTCCTATTTTCGGTCCTAAGAATCGATCGAAGAAAAGTTCGAAAAAAAAGCGGAGTATGGAGTATCGATTTAAGATTATTGATTAAGAGATATTGGCGGATCGATGGATTGACTTATTGAGTTTCTGCCAATTGAAAAGGGAAATCGTTGAATATATGAGACTCGGTTGTGAGAGAATACGTGAAAACGCTTGTTTGCTCGCTTTGGATTAAATGAATTATTGCAAATAGTACGGGTACAATTGTTGACAAATTGAGAATATTAAATTTATGTTCTGAAACACGAGACGATATCCATTAACGTCACCTATAAGGATTGTTTATTTTCACAGAAAATGTGAAAATGTGCCGCGCTTTATTATGCGAAACTATACTGTGAAGTTGATAACGAGAAGATTTTTCATGAATAAATGAATACTAAGTGAAAATAACTTTGCAAATTAACTCATTTTTCCTTTAATTTTGATCGCCTCACTTTATTCACCCTCTTTCAATTTCCAAAATTCGATGTTAATTATCATCCTCGATCGAAATAAATTATTATTATTATTATTATTATTTCAATTTGCAACGCCTAGATGTTATAAACGTTAATTTCTTACAAGCTGTTGGGAGTGAAAAAAATTGGAAGGAGCATACGCATACGACCGCAGAGTGATGGCGCGCGACGCACTGCGGTGAGTGCGGAGCGCAGGAAAAATGGTGAATTGTGTTTTTCTTCTTTTTTCCCTTCTTTCTTCCCTCCTTCTCCGTGACGACTCCTCTTCGTGAATTTAAACACTGTTATCGCAGCCAACATCAGGATTCAACCTGGTTTGTACTCGAGGAACATTGGTCTCTGCTCGATCGAATTCGTTCCCATTGATAGGCGAACGAAGATGACACGAGGATCCCACTTCGAGGGATTAATATCTGAAAGATCTTTAGTGCCTGAACTTCTTGAAACTTCTCGACAACGATAAATATATAAACGCGTTTTAAGATCGTTTGAAATCGATACTATTGGTTTAATGCTCTAATTTGATCGTCTATAAAATTCTCTGCAACAAACATGGAGTGGGTAACGCGATTACATCGTACATCAACGTCACGTGATCAATCAGAAATAAGACACCGTAATAAGAAACTTTTATATCGCCTTCTTGCGAAACAACTTGCCATCCAAATGTCTCGAGCGAGGAGAAAGAAAGATTTGATAAACGAAGAAAAATTTATTCATCACGTAGAAATAATTACTTGTCGTAATATTCGATTCTCAGATTTTTTTAAAGAGGACATAATTAAAGATTAAAGATTTAATTCACGAAGAAAAGATTGAGTTAAGATACAACAGCGAGTATCTGGTGACACACTATCTCGGAAACGATGCACCGTAAAAGAAAATGATACGAAGGTTACGACATCGAATCAATTGGCGGTAAACGAGCAATAAGCGCATCGAAATGCCATGTCGAAGATAGTCGCCATTAAATTGCGCTCAATCAAGCGTTCTTCATGAACATGCCGGCGTCCGCCTTCATGGCGTCGCAATCTTATTCTTTATTATCGTGTCATCGCTCGTGACTTTCACTTTCGATATTGCCAATGGTAGTCAGAATCGGAAAAATGGTCGATGACGGAACAATTAGTTGAATTTTTATCCCTCTTTCTCATCGTTGATACTTCAGCTACGAAAATTCTGCAAATTACTTTTCATTATTGTAAAATGTCTATCTAACCTAACCTAACCCTTTCTAACTCGATATCAATGTCTTCGCTAAAACTGTTGAGTTTCACAGGAATCATTTTTATTGGACATTGAAGAGTGTCTATTTGTCTTTTCAACTT